TGCTGCTGCTGTTGATGTTATTGTTGTTGTTGTTGTTGTTGTTGCTGCTGTGCGGCATTTGGCGTTGGTATTTATGAGTACGTTGTCCTTGATATGCGTGCGGAATTACTAAATGTCCCTGACTTGACACTAACTCACACGTACAGGCGACACACACACTCGCATCATCAGCCTTTCATTCAACTCGCTTCCGTTTGCCTGCGTCTGAGCTGTTGCTTAACACTGACTGCAATATGTTTGCCAGCCATGCCTACATCAACATCAGCATCAGCCCAGCTCCCTTGGTAGCTGCACACGAAAACCTTTCAACACTCGTGCATAGTGTAATCCAAGGAATATTCGACAATATCTGGATCAAATAGACTTTCAGTTTTAAAGCCAGCTGAAGGGCAGCTCAATGGGTATGTAGGATGACATCTTCAAATACGTTCATAGCAACAACTAATTAGTGCAGTGTTGGGAAGAGTATTCATCCGTCGTCGGCGACTCGTTTAATTTCCATCTATATGCCAGCTACAAGGCTGGTGTGCGTATGCTTGTGCTTACATATTTTTTATCTTGAACGTGCAGCTATGTCTGGGCCGGCTTCGAAATTTAAATAGAAATAGCATGTTGATATTATTCGATGTAGGTTTTTATTTAATTTAATATCCGACTGGAGTGTATTTGCATCTTTATCTCGTTCTCTTCCTCTGCATGTGTGTATTTTTCTTCCATAAATACATATGTATTTTAATTTATTTGTATGCAAGCAACAAGCGACTGCAAAAACTAACACCAACAACAACAACAACGACAACTTCAAGTAAATCTACTCGACAGCTCTTGGGGCTTGCCTCGAGAAGTGGCACTTCCATTACAATCCCAGTTGGAAGTGACTCTCGTTGTAAGCTCAGCAAGGATGCGTGTTATGCGAAACAATGTCGATGGAAGTGCTGCAACATTGTCATGCTCGAAAGTATGCTGCATTTTATTCGCTTTATTTGCCAGCTTGCAAGCTGTCCCAGTGCTTAGTTGCGTATACGCACCGATAGCCGGTGTTAGTGAACAAAAATCACAATTTCAGCTAGACAAACAAAGTGCGCCGTTGGGATATGAGCGTGGCAAACGCAACTATAGCACAACTGACACCACGCCACGAACACGCCCACGCCCACAACCCCGCATACGCAGGAGAGGACGGTTGAGTGCCAACAAGTGTAAGTTGGCTGCTCGGCTGATCAGCTAAGTGAATTTAACAAGTCAAGTGGCTTGAAAGCCGATGCTTAGTTGTGTGTGCGTATATATATATAAAAGCGTGTGTGTGTTTGAGGGTACATGTGTGGTTGCGTGGCACCTGGCAGATCTGTACTTCAGTTGGCGCATGAAATCAAGCAGAAGCAGAAACCAATTTGTGCGAAAACACAAAGGCATCAGAGAAGAAATGAAATTGGCCAAAAGGGGTGCCTGACGTCGTACAGTTGGATTTTTGGATATTGGGTAAGTGGAAAGTGGAAAGTGGAAAATGGAAAATGGAAAGCATTGCAGAGGCAAACTTTTTAAATCGTCCCAAAAGTCGAAAGTAATAAATTGTGTGACAACTTTTTTCATCCATAAGAACTTGGCACCGGAATTTTAATTCAATCTGACCAAAACACAGAGAAAAAGGACAAAAAATGCAAGCGACATAGCCAAGGTTCAGCCACAATGAAGCATCTCAAAATTATTTAAACGGAAAAATAGTTTCAACTGCAGGTGTGTGTGAGTGTGTGTCCATGGGTGTGTGTTTACTGTTGTGCGGTGCACTCAAATGTTGTACGGTTAACCGGCTCGGGCAAGAGAAACTAACATTATTTGATCCACATAAATGAAGCCCAAAGCCAGTGGGGCATGCAACAGCCAAGCTCTGCCTAGTTGCACTGTGTGCATGCGCGCACGTGTGTGTGTGTTTGTGTTTGTGTATGTGTGCAAGGTTGGTTGGCTACTCAACGTGAGGGACTGCGACTGCGACGCGACTGCGACTGCGTCTATTCCTGAGGTTGAGGCTGCGGCTGAATGTGCGCCGCAGTGGAAATGCACCCGAATAAACACAAAATTTATATGAACACATGGGAGTTGTTGGGCTACCTGCAGGCGTGCCCTCATCCATGGCCACACCACCCACGCATACACTGGCACCCTTTCACAGAACCTGCGTTCGTGTGTGGCGCAACAAAAGAAATTTTGTCGTTTTATGAATTCCTTTACCGTTAAAAGGGGTCCATGGCTTTAACCTGTGCTGAGCTACATTTCCGTTCATGAAATGAAACTGAATAAGTGCTCAACTATTGTTTAACTATTAAATACCCTACTGTTGTTTTAAGCTATAAAAGCAGTCTTACGGTAGTAATTAATCATAAATCTCAATGAGTAATGCAATAAAAGTATTCCCATAAAAGAAAATGAAGATGGGGCGGGACTTATTTCATTTAGATCTTTGACTCTGCAATAAAATAGAAATTCTTTTCAGTAAGTGTTATAATTACAATTTCATATTTCATAATTTTATTAAATTATTTTTGCATTTATTATGTTAAAAACAAATTTATATTTATATACTCAGGTCATCCAGGCACTTATTATTTTCACAAAAAATCATATTATCATCAGTTGGTAACAAAAACTTTTTATACAATTTGAATTTTCCAAAGTGCTTTTTTAATAAAATTTGCTATCCAGTTTTCAGCAAACTTTGACTTGCCTTGCTCTAAGTTTATATCAAAAATCATTTCGCCTATATACCCGTTGCATTGCTGCTCGCAAAATATATTTACGAACGGCAAAAGCAAAGAGAAACAACGTTTTACAAATAGATTTCCATTTTTCATCTGAGCAAATCGTTTTGCATGGCACAATTTTGTGCGCTTTGTTCCAGGCTCGGCATCGGGGGCAGCCATAGAAATATTGTTTTTGGAGCTCAGTACAGTATGGCAGACGAACACACCCACCTACATCTACACCTACACGCAGTTTATGCGACTCATCAACATGGAAACTTTTTTGATTGACCAAAAGTACGGCGTCAGTGTTATATAGTGCAGCTCTGCCAGAGGTCGTCTGAGAGCTCTTTTGACAAATGCGGCTCATGTTGTTTGGCCTCTGGCATATTAATGTTAAAACACGGCTTGCTCCGCCACAGGTTGCTGTCTAAATGCAAAACTTTCTCCTCATTCTCTACCGCACTCCATAATGTGATTGCTCAGATTTTGGCATTTTACGCTTTTCGTTTAGATTTTTATTTTTCATACTCTCTGCTCATAAAATAGAGAGAGTATAATTTGGCAGAGCTGAGCCTAGATCACGTTGATTGTAAAGTAAATATCATGTTAAGTTCTTAAGCCAAATGCTGTGAATTCATGTATAGAAAATGAAGGAGAAACCCTTTCTTTTCCAGATTAGAGATATACATGAAATTTACCAAGCAGTGAGTCAAAAATTGGTAGATTAGCATATAAAAAATTTAGCCTATATACATATATATATATATATTTAAATATACTCTTTAATGCATATATATATATATTCCCATTTATATATTTTGTTTGCACCATGCCAGGGTATCTGTTAGTCATGTAGTTCCATTTAAAGCACTTCTTCAGCTCCGTTTGCGCAATGGGCACATAAAACTCAATTGGGTCGTTAAATGTAAAAATTGTGATAAATAATCAAATTACACGCATTTGATGTTCGCCAAGATTTGACGCTTTGAATTTTTATGCCGCAGATTTTCGGCTTTCCATTTCAGGCCTCGCTGACGAGGCGCATTATTTATAGCCAGCCGTCGATTTTGGTTAAAGCGATTATTGGGCCAGTTTGGTATTGGTTAATAATGCTCGAGTGATTGGCCTGCGTCTTGACCTATAAAGTGTATTAAGTTTTCAATTAGCACGCCTATTCCACTTGTGACAGGCGTCGGTCGAGTACTTTGCTTATGCGTCTCGAATTTCCCATTAAAACTAACTAATTTCATGCTAAATACCAAAGGCTAGCGAATTTTCTCTTGCCAATCAATTTCGCTGTGCGAATTTCTTTTGTGCGTAACAGGTAAGTTTAAAGCCAGCACCACATGCCTCAGTGTGCGTGCGCGTGTGGCTGTCTATGTGTGTGTTGGTGCTTGTTCTAGTTGCTTGTCACTTAAACAGATTAAGCAGTGGTGCCGTCAGGGGCATGTCGTGCCGTCGGCTGTTGATGTCGTTATGTATTTGACTGCCAGAGTTGTTTGTGCGTAGCAATTAAACAGCGACAATCGCCCCGTTGGCAGCAAACCGCTTTCAGTGGCACATTGTTTAGCTGGCGACAGGTCAAACAAACGGCTGCCAAAGGACAACAGGATCCAGCGATAACCCAGTTTGTCTGGTCTGCCACTAAAAGGTCTTCCAGCAATTAACAGGTAAACGGCTATGAGAATCATGATTTTACTATACGATAATGTTGTATTAGTATTTTAATTAGCCGTAAGGATATCAGCACAACAAATGGCCAGTCGAGTACAGGCCTTTGATGTGGTCTTGACATTTAGCTCTGACACAGACCGGCTGACATCCAGCATTCTCTCGCAGTGCGTCAGCGCTAAAAGCACACAGCTCGGGGCTAAGAGTTAGCATTCACGTTGGCATCGACAACGGCAACGGCATCGACAACGGCAACGGCAACGGCAGCGGCAGCGGCATCAAAATCAAAGTCAACGGGCCATTGGTGACACTGTCATGGGGCATGTGAAGGCGATATTTGATACGCGAGGCGTCAAAGCGCTGACAGCTTGCACATTTTTTTTCATAACTCGCTGAGCGTTAGTGGCAGTTGCCAACGGCCGTGGCAAAGTGCCGTCCTATCACATGCTGCTGTGGTTGTTGTTAGTATTGATGCTGTTGTTGCTGTACTAACAGCTTACAGCAAGCACTTGACTGCCTGTCTATTTTGTCGTCAACATTTGGCGCTTTTAGAAGCCCGATCAAAGGTGAGAAATTCATTTGGTTCGCTTGGCTTGCTTCTGTTTGTGCTCAGCACTTATATATTTAAATATACATATACGAAAACTTAATAACTAAGTGAATGTCTAATTGATTGTGATGAAGCGCGCGTGTCTGCTTCATTTTACTTATAGATCGCCGCAGCGTGCCTCGCAGCTGTCCCGCGTGCAGAATCGATTGCGATTGCCGTTGCAGCCTTTGTAGGTGAAGGGCCGGCAGGCGCCCTTGTCATGATACCAACGGGTAAGGGCCTTCGTCTGGTCCTTACTGTTGCAGTAGTTGCCCTCGTTGCGGCCCACATAGCAGTTAACATTGTCTGTAAATGGGAAAGGGAAACGTGCTGCTTAATTGAGCAAACTAATTGGATAATCGATTTATATACATATTAAAAGTATCCATATTTTCTTTGCTTCAATTAGTTCCAACTCTCTGCCCCCGCCTCATTTGCTGCTATTCAATTTGGTTACTCTACGAACGAGCACATTACGCATACAATTTTGACAAAATGTCTCATAAATTCAGCTGGCAAAAAGCGAAAATAGTCTCTAAAGAAAATGGCAAATGTGACTGACAACAGTTTTGGCAGTGGTTTGTCAAGCGAATGGCTGCAATTGGCCAAAACTATTTCTTTTACAATGGCATTGGAAGATAGACGGAAGAGGTAGAAAATCTATATAGTATCTATAGAAATCAGCTTAATGTAATTATAAAAAAGAGAGGGAATGGTACTTAGATCTTATTTGCTTTAAGACCATTTGGAAATTGTATATAAATAATTGTAAAATTCTAAAATACAGAAAGAAATGAAAATATAGAAATATTAATCGACTAACAATTATACTAAAAAATACTATATCTTTCCTTAATTTCATTATTTTCTGCACAAAATCGAATTCATTAAAAGTTGCATTTCAAAGTCAAAGAAATTTGTTGGCCTATTGAGTTTATTTTGTGACATTAATGTAGTATTTTGTAATAAATAAATCGCTTTGGTCCACTCACTTAGCTCTTTGCATGCGCCGCCTCCAGATCCGGCTGCCCCGATTCCAACGGTCTGAGTCAACAGAATGACAGATATAAGGCAGACAAGTGCCATAGAAACGAAATTCAAATTGATTTTCAAATTCATGTTTTAGCTTCTATTTTCTCTTTCGCTCTTCACGCCGCGCGAGACTCAGCGAATACAGCAAACAGCAGCGAAATGCAATTGAATTAGGAACGGCGAGTGAAATGTCTGTGGCTTTGCTGTGGACTCGGTGGCTGCTCCAATAGTTTCGTTGTTTATTTTAAGTAATTTGCGCTACTTTGACAAAAACGCGACGTGGTCCAACGAACCGAGCGAACTGAACGCTGCCCGGGGCATACTTTTAGTTTATATACGAAATGCCGGAAATTGTGGCTAAAGATTTTTCCCGAAGTACAGAGCACGAGCATGAGGCTGTTCCCATTCTCTGAATACTTTTTTGTTTTTCAAAATTTTGTTCTTTTATTTTTATTTTTATTTTTTGTTTGTCGCCGCTTCGCAAATTCGAAAATACTTTGAATAATTGTCCAACCGAGCAGGAATTCATCCATACAGACCCTCATCCATTTATCCATCCATCCATCTGTCTATCTATCCATCGGTTTGTACCATCGTCCAACGTCCAACGATTTATGTCCATCAAAGCTAAGTAGGGGCAGCTATTTTCGGTCGAGGAATGTATTTTGCGGGGTCCGGCAATTGCACTTAGCGTTATCGCCAGGCGTTTACTTTGCGCTCGTTTGCATAATTTCCAACTTATTGAATATATTCCACATAATTAATTTTAATTATTTGTGCTCTCTTTTTCTCCAGCATTTGAAATAATTTGCAAAAGGGAAAGGCAAAAGGGTCGACCCTGGACCCAGTCAAGGGTTTGCTTCCATTGTCTCTAATTACAATTGGGCGGCATTTGTTTTAGATTTTTCAATGTCACACCCAAAGCACAAAGTTCCCATTTGACAAGTGGCTGGACTTTAAAATAAAGTCAAGAGGCAAGCTCGAAAATCAATCTTCATTTTGAATTCAATTTGCTTATTCGTATCGGTGCAGGGTCAGGGGAATACAAAATCATTTATATATACAGTATTCACACTGCTGATGACGCATTGCTGCAAAATATTGAGTTGGAGTAATTGGTCCAACATGTCGTATGATTAATTGGCTTGCAATGCATAAGAAGCGTGCTAATGGAAAATGTGCCGTGGGCAAGGACAACATTAATGATGATGTCACCCGATGCTGTGGCACACAGTCTACATGAGTCAGCCAGCCAGCAGCGAGCAGCCAGCAGCCAGCGCTGTGAGCATTGCCCACATGCTGAGCGTTATGCTGACAGTCATCGGACCAAATGTGAACTGACTTTTTAATTGGACGCTCCGCTTTCAACGGATTTCGCATTGGATATCTCAACTGTAGCTGAGAAATCATCAAAATTGCAACAAGCGCAAGTAAGAGGAAACAACGACCTCCAAAACGGAAGTCTTAACATCCCAGGTATACAAAGTCAGTCAACTGGAAGAGCTTTCAAGTTGCCAACCTGTCAAAGCTGGCCGCGGCGAGCGGGTCGCAAGAGTTTTCAGCGCGTTGCCCGTGATTAGTTAGTCAAAGGACGAAACGGTGGCGTATACGTGATGTATCAGCGACAGTAAATCAATACGTACTTAAATGCGGCTTACACTCAAACGATATGATTTAGCGGAAAACAGAACCAAAAAAACATATAAAAAAAAAACAAAGTAAACAAGCACAACGAAAATTTTGAGAGAAGAGCCTCTTGACTGTGGTATACTCTGTTTAGGCCAGCACAAACTATGTGTGTTTGATATTATTTCTTTGAGCTTTTTGCTCGGCAAGTGTAACTGGTAAATATTTAAAAGTAATGAATTTTTTCAATGCAATTTGAAAATATATTTTTAGGCACGCCATGCAGACAACCCTCGCGCACTCCGGCAACAGGGTATATGAAAAGTATATAAAAAAAAACAAGGCAACATAAAAGCGTCCGTTGACTTCAGCATTTTCTATAGTCCACCACGTAATGTAATGCCGTAATTTGTGATTTTCCACTTGTTTTGACAATTTGGTGATTTTCTGATTTTTCGTATTTAATTTTGACGGACTTCTAAGCGCAGTGGACCAAAAGTTATTTAATGGTTGCACTTGAACGTGCCGCAAACTGATGCCAGTTCAAAGCTGTCACCGACCACCGCTCGACTGCCCTGACGGCTGACGACACTCGCAATATTGAGCCATTAAGAAATGGGCTTAAAACTGGAACAACATTTAGCTCTTATTCATTAAGCGAATACTACAAATTCTGGCAAATTCCTTTTTGCCGTAAATTCTACCTTAAATTCTTTTGTATTTCGTTTCCTCTTTGGCTATATTTTATTATTTGTGTTCGGCTCCGTTTTACTTGGCGAATCCGTTTGTCTTTAAGTCGCTTTCAGTTGGCCGCAAATTGAGGAAATGAGACATTTGAATGATTCACTTCCGGCCTTTACTCAGCGAGTCGTCATTTCTATGGAGACAAAAACGAGTTGTTTTTGCTCCCAAGCTTAAGTCGTTTCACAAAATAAAAAATTTAAGTTCCAAGGATTAGGTCTGTTGCTGTGGGCGGGCTCTTATGTTTAACAAAATAATGTAAGTCGGAATTAAGTGCTTCATTCGGAGCTCAGGGACCAGCTCATGCAGTGCTGGACAATTTCTTTGCGAACCCATTGAGATTGCAACTGCTTAATATTGATTTCAATGAGTTGGAACAGCTAAATGGCAGGCAGTTTCTTACAGCACATTGGCATAGTGACAATGAAATCTGTCGACATTGGCGAACAACAATCGGGCGCTGAATTAGTTGAAATTGAGGCGGGCAGCAGGTTTGTGGCTCTGTCTTCGTTGTGTTTAAGTAAAAATTTTACAATTTGCAATAAAAATTCCAGTTTTGCTTTTCGGAATTCAGTTTATGGTCGCCTCTTGCGACAGGCTAAGCGCTCGGAGCTCGGGTGTGTCCTTGCGCTGCACTGAAAGATCCAGCGGCTACCCGCTCGAAGCTCTCTGCCAGAAAATTATTATGCGTCCTGGAGACCGCGTGCCGTGCGGGCTGTGGGTAACGCTGCGGCATGGGTGTGGGACCAGCAACAATTTAATAACAAAACATATTTCACTTGCATGCCAAAGAAGCTGTAGAGGAATGCGCTGTGAACAAAATCGAATGTGCTTAACTTTCCCAACCATGTAGCAGAGTGTACACCACTGCTAGTCAACACAACAACACAACATACTATTTTAAAGCTTTGACATTTACCAAAAGCAAAGGCTGGCCCAATGCGAGTTATGTGTGTGCTGAGCGCTAAGGACAGCCAGCGCGATGTTGATTTCACTCATTTCCGACTCAAATGGATTTTGATTGTCTGCCCGGGCCTGGTCTCAGTCTGGCTCCGTTCAGGCCCGTGATGGCTGGAACGTGTCTGCCATTTGTCTGCACACTCGTTTGGCAGCCGCTACCAAATGACTTTCTTTTTCTTGGCCCTTTACTGTTGGCCGTTGGCTGTTGGCTGTTGGCTGTTGGCTGTTGGCTGTTGCTTCTGGGGCCATTAGGTTTTATTGTAATGATTTCTATTACCGCACAGCTACTGCTGCTGTTGTTGTCGTTGTTGTTGTAGTTGTTTTTGCTGCAACTTGCAGTTGGCAGTTGGCAGTAGTTGGCAGCTTACGTGGCCATCGCGCTTAATGAGTAGTTATTTCCGCTTATATATCTTGATAATGCCAAGTCGTGCGAACATCGCCTTTTGTGGTAATCGGCTCTGTTCCGAGACACGTTCCCATATTAATTGCTCTTTATACTCGCATTCGTGTAAATTCATTAGCATGAATGCTTTCTAATTGAATTTATGCATAATTTATTTGCTATGCTATACAAAATTTGGATTTATTTATGTACAGCACGCTTATATATATATATATATATATATATATTTTTTTTTTTTTTTTTTCCTTTTTCATTTCGCATTTCGAATTTATGAATTTCATTTTGTGGCTGTCAAAACAGAGATAATAAAATAAGCCCGAGTTTGTGAAAAATGCACACAAAAATTATGTTTTTTTATTTCTTTATTCTCCTCTTTCCAAATTAAATACATAATTACATTTAATGTGCTTTGTTTATTGCTTAAATAGGACTGCCCGTTAGCATGGAAATCTCATTTAATCTGTGAAATTGTATTTTTTACTATTTGCTGCAGTTCTAGTCCTATTAAGCGATTACAAATTTATTATAACTTTACTAGTTGAAGCAGCTGTTCAGCAAAATCAGTAAAATCAATTTGCAATTCGCACTCAACTTTTACGTGGTTTCGCAAAATACTTTCACAACAATTGCAATTTGAGAGCGCTTGCTTGATTTGGCTTGGTTCGTACACATGCGAATGATTATCAATTTGCGAGATTCCGATTGTAGTGGAAAATCGGTTGTCGATTGTCTGATTTGCAAGCGAAAAAAGAGTGAACCACAGTGCACTGCAGTGGAACACAAATTAAGAAATCACATTTACTAAGAATCTTTCAATCAAATTTGTTTTTTCAAGATATTTTATTTACTTTTTTTTTGCATGTATATATATATATATATTCCACGGGCTCAGGCCCGTCCACTCCAGCTTATTTTCATTTTGCATAACTTAAATTTTGTTGCTGATATTTGCATTGCAAATAATATTTGGAAATCCTAAAAGTATGCTATAAATAAATTTAAATACTTGGTATTGAATTGGGTCGTCCAAAAAAAATATGTATAAAATAATTAAGTCAAGTAGTCCATATTATTCATATTAAGCTTTTAATACAATCGTTGCATAACTTTAGCGTTTCATATACGCATTCATATTATTTAAATAATGAGTTTTTGTAATGACCCCGATGTGGATTGAATATTCTGGTATGCATATGCCTGAAGAGCATTCAGCACTCAATACTCACTCAATAGTTTGCTGATGATATGGATATGATATGATGATGTAGGATACACTATAAAAAGATGTGGAGTTAAACCAATGAATATATGACAGTGAGTAGTCACAGCTACTCTCTCTCAATTTAAGCCCAATTTCCGGCTATGCCAACCACTGTGCAGCACTCCGTATGCTCTAAAGCAAATTGAGAGTGCAAACAAACACATGGAAATTGAAGTCGGTTGCCAAAGATATTGGTCGTTTCCCTGAGCGCCGGTCTGTGGAGCACAGCGAACATGTGTTTGCTCGCAATGATTAATGTGGCCAAAATGTATTGATGTTTGCTCATTGATAAGATGGCTGAATTTAAATTAAACTATC